AATAATAATCCTTTACCATTAGTTTCCCAGTACCCATTCCAGAGCCAGACCCTGGGACAGGCTTGCGTTTGAACTTTATAAGCAGCCTCCTAAGAGTCTTGTCCTTGAAGGTATCCTTAGGCTACAGGCTCAAACCCTTGCTAGAATTCTCCTGCTCCCCAGTTAGACATGCACACAGGACTGGTAGTGTTTCCCCACCAGGCTAAAATCAGGTGTGTGCCAACTCAAGTCTATACTGATGGAAAACTAAGGCAAGAGGAAGTTCAGGTCAGAAACAGACCAAACAAAAAAACCCAACCTTTTAGTACAGATTCAATATTTGAAGAGTCAATGTGGTTATTAATATCTGGTCTTACCCAAGACAATATCCTGTGTTATGCTTTGAGTTACCAAAATACATAAGAAGCCCATGTCCTCGGCTCTACCTTTCCATATAGTCAATAAAACCCATTCAATAAGATCATATAGGAAGCAGTGAGCTGTACACCTAGTTTGAGTAGAAGACAGACCTCCTGGGAAGGATGCTTATAGCACACACACATCCTTTACATAAGAAATTTGAAAGACAGAAGCCATTTACATGGTCCTTTAAGAGCCACAGAGGAAGCTCTGCATCCCCATGCTGTCACATTGGCAGATTATATGTATGGAGGACACTCCACACAAAGCCATCCTCCTCAGGAGATCAGTTCAGAGCCTGCAAAAGCACACCCAATGAACTAAGCAGCAGGTTTTCCAAGAAATGGTTACTTCCTCTATACTAGCAGCTTCCCGCTCGTTTCTCTTACTCCTTAAAAGGAAAAAAGAGACTGACTTCAAAATTGAGGGCAAGTGATCTCAGCTCTACTCATCAACTATAAGGGTTGTAAGCCAGCATTTTACCTGCTAGTCTTGTTTCCAACAACTCATAGCAGTTAAACTGATGGCCACTTATGGGCATTCATGAAGCACTAAGTAACCCAGGGAGGTCCTGTGACCATTAGCTTGACTTCAGCTGTAACTAATAAGCAAGAGTAAGATATTACTGCAATTTAGAACAAAAACATTGCACAGAGCAATAGATGCTAGACCAACCCCTTCTCCTTACACACAGTAAGGTTGCAGAAGATCCAGAAAAATTAACTCTAGCCTTTTTACTTTTAAAATCGTACATTTCACTGAAAAAATATAATATATAGCTCTATAGGACTGATTATAATATATTACAGGCTAAAAAAGCTCATTTCCCCCTATAAAACTTTAAATCATGTTAGAGAACCCGATTTTGCATACAGATTTATTCTAGCAGAAGTTATTGCCTTCAGTTCTTAATTAAAGTTCACAGAATAAAGCTTAAATAGTTTTCACAGAGATTCATTATATTAGTGTTTTATATAAAAAAGGAAACAAAAATTACCAAACCAAAAAAACAAGAGCAGCCATGAGAAACTATAAATAATCCTATAAAAAAAAGTCAAAATCAAAAAAATTATTGATAAAACACATAAATATATCTTTAAAGTCTCCTACAGTAGCTGCTATAGGAACAAAAGAAACCTGTAACATACCATAGCCAATGCTGCTTCAATTTTGGAATATGGATTGTATAAAAACCCACACACAGTATATGTCTAGAGAAAATGCCCAGCCAAAAAAGGTGGGGG